CTGACAGTCTGGAGAGTTATGGTGGCATCAGAGCGAGGAACACTGTGGATCGCACAGTTCAAGTGGCTTTAATGACCGACGCCCATCCACACAACTGTAGTCCGACTGTTAGCGGCTCTTCTGTCCAGACCCCTCCGTTCGACATGTGATTTTCAAAGCTTCTTGGCCAATAGAACAAATAGCTGCCTTTTTATTTACTCCTCCATTTACGAGGTCTGCGTCTGCACGGTCTTTGTCGTGATCCCACTGTTCTCCGCCTCCTCTGCATTTGCTCACACGTCCAAGAATTGAATGAATTATCCTGGAGGAATTCCCTGGCAGGGAAGATATAAAGAGTGTCATTGTGGAGCAGGGATAATGAGACATGGATGGATTTATCTGGAGCCAGTGTGATATATTCAACTCAGTGACAGATGAACGCGTAGAGCAGAGAGGAAACCATTGTCCTGCAGGTCAGGCTGGACTCTAACCCACTGCTTCACAGTGATGTCTGAAATTCCCCAAGTGTCCTCCAGAATGACTCTCTCATGTTTGAGCGTGCATGTGTGTGTGAAAGGAAAATAGATTGAGAGTTAGTCCACTTACTGTCTCCACTTCCTTTCCCATCCCCATATTATTCAGTATATTTGGTCAAGTAAAGTAGAACGTCATCTGCAAAATGGAGAAACCGAGAAATAAAATGCTCTTAAAATTCACAAAATAACCTCAAAAAATAAAATAAAAAATATACATTATTGTATATATATTGTTTTACTTGTTATTAAAATGTCAAACTAGTCTGTTTTTCATTTTCAGAATATGGTTTGAATTGAATAATAATAATAATAAACCACATTAGACCCTGATTATTTATCACATTCTTCATCAGGACAGCAGACCAGTAGATTGGAGTCTTGATTAAGTCACTTAATTTTTTTAAACTATTTCAGCTGGCGCTCAGTCTAATCACCCCCCCCACCCTTCTCCCGTCCTCTCTCTCCCCCCTGCAGTGCTGTGGACGTGTGTGTTGACCTTCAACGTGGACCAAAAGAACGGCTTGTCATTCAGCGGCCCGCTGGAGGACATGTTTGGATACACTGTCCAGCAGTTTGAGAACAGCGAGGGAAAATGGTGAGTGTCGTTAGCTGGAGTTTTGGAGGAAGTGATGGAGGGTCACCTGAGACCAAACATCCATCACTCTCCCCCACAGCAGGTCTGACTGTTCACACCAGTAAAGTCAACACAGTAGTAGGGGCAGATGTAGGAAGAAAACTAACTACGGTGCAGAAAACTGATGTCAGAATGAGAAAAAAAACAACAAACCCAATGCTTTTTAATAAGATTTGAAAGCATTTCATTTTTAATTAAGTTTATCCTTAAATAAATCTACAAACTAACATTTAATGTACGAAGAATCTTCATCAAACCCTTATCCTGAGTATTAGACGTTGATGTGTTAGACGGGTTACTTCCCCCTTTATACATGTCTGCCACCGGTGCTGGAGTTTCACCTGAAGTCTTCCTCTACTCCATGGTCGTCCTGTCTAAACATGAACCATAAAGATCCTAGTAGTTTCCAGTAATTGAATTTATAAAACCTGTCTTAGAACTTTCCGACTTACCTCTCTCCACGACCCAAAGGATAAAACAGTATAAAAGTTTACCTGTGGAGCAGAGTGAAAGTAAGTGGACCAGGTGCCAGGCTAATGTGGGATCTGTGTTTATTAGATCAGCTGTTAAAGTCAAACTGCCCAACAAAATTAGATCAGCTGTTAAAGTCAAACTGCTCAACAAAACACACACTCACACACACTCCATCAGTAAATACACTGCGACCAAGCATCCGTAGCTCCTCGCTAAATCGTTCTTGGAACACACTTTTACAGCCCTGTTAAATGTCATTAGAGTGTGGTTAATGGCTCTGCGTCTCCTCATCTCCTCCTCCTGTTACGCCGTGTTTGTCCGTTTACTTCCACGCAACCTGTAGCTGCGGCGCGTCCCGGTCTTCTCCTGGACGCTGTACCTGGAGCTGTTCTCCCGTAACGGTTTTATGACGCTCATATGAGACCAGTTACAGCCTCTCACGACTAATGCCTGCTGCAGTGCTGAACATGTTCTTCTAATCAGCCTCTGCAGCTGCCGGTGAAGCTGCACAGCGTTCACTGGAAACACGAAAAACACCTACGGAGAACAGGGTGCTGACCAGAGACCAGGGGAAAGTATTTGACCGTGTGAAGATTCTGCTTCAGCCTTGAAATAAACCTGGGCAGAGCAGAGGGAGGATCAGAGATGTTGAGTATTGAAAGAAAACAGATGATAGAATCCAAAAGGCAGATTGAACTCTGGGAAATCAGGAACGGTGATTTGTAGCTCTTGGTGTGCCAGTGTGAGAGAACCTTATGCAAGGAAAGGATGGTTGTGTGGTGATGTAACAGGAAGGTTTGTCTTTGACAGTGGACGGAGTGGAGCGTGTGTTGTTGTTGCTGTTTGTGTCTCCATTTAAGCGTCCAGGGCCCATTAGAGTTGAGGAATGTTAATAAGACTGAATGTTTAGAGAAGCTGACTCTCTGTAGAATCAGTGACCTGACAGTATGAAGGACGAGAGCTATGAAACTACTGCATGGACGTGGACCCTGAATATACCACACATGTCCTGCCTTAGAAAAAAAAAAGTACAAAAGTACTGAAGTATATGTATAACATTACATATATATATTCAGTTTTTGGGTTTTTTTGTTTGTTTGACCAACCATTTAAGCACAGGTTTATTCAAAAATATTGCTTTTCCTACACATTCTCACCATTTAAGCACAGGTTTATTCAAAAATCTTGCTTTTCCTACACATTCCAAATGAACGTGAAGTGTTTGTATATTTCATGTACGACACTGGTGATTGTGCTTCAGAGGTTCTAGTGATCCATTTTGGTGTTGCTTTTTGAGGCATCTAAAAATTTCTACCAAAAATAAAGCAAAAATACCTAAATCTTAGCAAAGAGAATAAATGAAACTAAACTATTTTAAATATTCTCTATGCCCAAAAGTAGCCAAAAATTAAAAAACAAAACAAAACTGTTAGCCATAAAATCATAAGAGAAAATGACTTTTGTGACACAATTAAGGCAAATCTGAATTCAATCTAAAAAGCGTGCCAATCCTTAATATCTGCATCAATTTTGAATCACTATAAAATAATCACTATCATATATATATATATATATACATACATATATATATATATATATATGTATATATATATACATATATATATATATATATATATATGTATACTGTATATATATTTAACATTGTCAATTAGCAGCCAAGCAAAAAATAATGTGGGCACCTCTGGTTTACATTAATGTGATTTTAAAAACTTGACTGACTCTGGGTTTTATTTTCTCAGGGTTCTGATTGGTTCACCACTGTCAGGTCAGCCTGCCAAACGGACAGGAGACGTCTACAAGTGTCCTGTGGGGAAGAAGGACAACACGTGTGTCAAACTGGAGCTGCCTAGTAAGTAACTGTATTCAGTATGTGTGTACCTGTAATATTTGACTGGTAACTGACAATGGTATGTATTTTGTCTCCTCATAAAACCACTGTGTGTGGCTGTGTTCTCAAAGTAATAGGTCAAGTTTTTTTTCATATGGAAATACTTTTTAAACTATAACTACGAAGTAGGAAAAACAATGTGATGTTTGTTTTATTGTTTGTATAGAGCACTGACTGGCTGTTAATGCTGAGCATGCTGCCAGTATGCTATAAAAGGAAACGATTGCCTGAAGACTACATTAAAACTGCTACATTTAGCTGTTTTTCCAGCTGCCTCTTAAATGTCTTTGGACAAATTTGAGCGATGTTTGCTGTATTTTCTGCAAACGTTTATCTGTTTCTAAGCCAAGCACTGTTATTTTTGGCTAATGCTAAGCTATCTTTGCTTTATGTCTTTGGCGTCATTAAGCATTTAGCTAAATCAAAGCTGTATTTTTTGTAACTTTTAAGAGGTCTTCCTTTTTAGCACAGCATTATTCAAACCATTTGCTAACTTATTTGCTAACTTAGTAACTTTTAAGAGGTCTTCCTTTTTAGAGCAGCATTATTCAAACCAACCACTTTACATTACTGTACTTATTTGCTAACTTTGAAGCTACCGTTAGCTCAGTTGTGATTTCTACTGTGTTGTAATAGGCGAGCGGTTTGAAAGGTTTATTCTTACCTGTACTGTGTAACAATGGTAGTGGAAAGTTTTTTATAAATTCAACGTTCATGTTACAAACTTGCAGTTTAATTTTCTGGCTAATATTTAGTAATCCCAAAACATGTTTTAACTTTAGCCGTGTTGTGCTACAGAGGCCTGGATGGACATTTTTATTCATTAGAGTATCTTCCTCTTTAGTTTGTCTTTTATAAAACTTCATTTAATATATTTTAAATAGCCTGTAAGCTTGGCTAGTACCATCTACCTCCTGTGCGATCTCCTGCTGCTACTACGTGTTTAGACCTGGTATTTATCTGATTTTGTCTCTGAAGGAAGTGAGACCCATCTGTACAGGAAGACAGTAAGTAAACATGGTTTTAATTTCATCCTTCCAGTTATGTCCTAATTAAACAGATAAACATAATTTAGCTCCGGTCAGCAGCCTACGACATCTCATCCAGTCCCTGTCTGTGGGTGGATGTAGAAGAACTCTCCCTTCACTTTGGGCATTCTGATTTTTTAGCCACAGATCAGGATTATTGAGTCAGAGCATTTATAGTGGAAGGCTGTGTTTATGAGTCAGAAAACGTACAAAGTCGACGATCCTCTCCGGCTGTGGACTGAAGTGTATTTTCTGTCTTTGAGAAGTTTGACAGCAAAAGTTAAATTTCACAATCTCTAAAATTTACTCTGGAAATCATCGAACTCTGCGGGAATCGATTCAGGCTTCCAGCTGGAGCCAGACCACTCAGCAGACAGCAGCGAGTGGTTTACATGATGATGCTGCATTAAGAAAATTAAAGTGGAGCGATGGCATGACTCAGAGACTGCATGACCCTCAGTGTCAACTTCAATTGATACAGAAACCAATTTTCTGGGGTTGTTTAAAGCAATATTTCTTCAGCACCCCTCAGGAGTAAATCCAGTCCGGCCGAGCAGGATGTGCACGTCCGACTTAGGGAACCGACATATCAATCAACTCAGATGCCTGTAGAGACATTGACCACACCCTGGAGCCTGACATTTTAAAAACAATCTGTTTTCTGTTTTACACTGTTTCAGCACAAGAGAGAGAGAGAGAGAGATAGAGATACTAAAGCATAATGAGCTGTGTGGTTATTGTGTTATTGCATAATGAGCTGTGTGGTTATTGTGTTGTAATGAAACTGTGAGGTGGAGATGGCAGTGGTGCGTGATGAAATTCTGACGAGGACGAGAACATCACTCTGGAGAGGCCGTGGTCTCACATGCTGCTGAGCCACTTCCAGCATCAGGGCGTGTTGTCTAACGCTCCGCGTTTAAGTGGATGGTTAGATTGATTGTGGGAATGCATGCAAGTACTGTAAGAATGATAGAAAACATCAGCACCCCACAACCCCCCAAACCCTAACCCCTCATTATGTCCCCCCCCACCAGGCAATATTTTTGCAACAATTAACCTTGGTTTATGATGCAAATAAATTATTGGGGTATTACGTTGGTGGAGTTTGAATACTGTATGGGTGCATATATATATGTAT